TGAAATGGACCCGGTGCTATAATAAAGGTTGTGGAGAGCACATCGAGTGATTTATCTCCAAAGGCTAAGCAAATCGAACACAAAGACCGGCTTTCTCATGTCCTAAATACGATGATGAGACGACTCGGCTGTGTCCGACGTCCATTCGCCCAATGGACGCGAGCACTGTCCGCGTTGATGACGGCATAGAGCAGCAAAGTTTCTGAATAAGGCACAACAATTGGCACAACCACAAGTCGACCTTCTACCGGCCTGTCTTTTATGGCACACTGCGCCATAAAAGGGTCTTCTACCAGAGCTGGGAAGATGATACAGTGCTGGATTGGAGTTGCCTGGAGCAGAAGATCTGACAAATGATACCAACGCTTCACCTGGTGAATTAAGAGACTTTGGAGTATACTGGTTAGATGCAAACTCTGCCGTCTGGCATAAGTAGGGAAGGGAATAGAGTAGTGATGGATTGGCACTTGTTGTAAATCTGGTTAGGATGATGTATAGATTGAGAAATATGAGGGCGAAATTGTTAGTAGAGCCCATAAAAATAATTAACTGTGCCAGATAACTTATAGATGCGTTGAATACTCATTGAATACTCACGCACACGGTCAGAATCCCGCTTGTGCAAGACTGAAACTGCATATTACTAGAGCTGAAGATGGTCATTTGGGATGAGGGGCACGGATAATTTCATTGCAGAATTAAGCTTGCATGACACAACCGATTGTATGCTGTAGTTATTGCTGTTCTTTAAACTGATACAATAAAAATAATGCACTATTTTAATATCATTCACCATAAATCACTTGGGTTATTGTCCCAACAACCGAATAATGATGTTGAATTTCATCAAGCCTTGCAACAGTTCTGATTAAATATTTACTTGTAGTATCGAAACCTACTCACCATGACTATAAGTAACCTGGAGGATTGTGGTGGCATATACTAGGTTGCTTTAATGTATAGGCAGAAAATTTGAGTTTCAAAAATTCTCCTCAGATGAGATTGCTGTAAAGACTTTCACTTTGTAAGGAAGTAGATGATGAAGAGATTCGTAGGCAAATCTCACCATAAGCCATCGGCTGATTCGAGTTGTATTGCAGCCATTTGGCCTTACTGTAAAGATCAGATAGATGCAGTCCATCAGACATCCTTCAACGTTTCGGGCAAAGACGGGCTCAACTTTCGTTCGTTATGTGACGAACATCGTCAGAGTTTGGACTCATTCTTGCAGGTAACATTAAACAAAAAAGAAAAAACCAGCTTTTTTCTATATTATATATATTTAAAGTAATTGCGAGCAAAATTTAAAATACAAATGGATATAGAAAGGTTTCCTTAATTAACGTATAATCGAGTATGTCTGTGTGCATGTGTATTAACGTCTGTACGCGAAACCATTCATAACTCAGAGTAATTAGACAAGAGCTTAACGTCAGCC